GAGAAGCTAAGTTGGGAGGATCCCTTGAGCCCAGGAGATTGAGGCTGTGTAGTGAGCCATAATGGAGCCACTGCTCTCCAGCTTGGGTGACAGAACGAGACCCTGTCTCAAAAAACAAAAAAGACGGTGAATCTTGCCCAAAAACTATGGGAAACAAGATGCACAGATACTTAAAGTACATAGTAAGATACTATGCCAGTGCCATTAGACAGATGTGACACTTCAGCCTGCCGTGCCCAAGTAAGGCTTTCTGGTAGCTGATTCCTGAACTGAGTCCTAAAGGTCAGAGTAAGTGTTCATCAATGAAGAGGGACAGAAAGAGCATGGTAGACAGAGTAGCCAGTAAAAAAGACTTGGAAATGTGAGCATGGAGTGTGAATCTGGTCTGAGGAGAAGAGGAAGAAGAAAAAAGACTGGCTGGGCTGGGTGGCTCACACCTGTAATCCCAGCATATTGGGAGGCCAAGGTGGGTGGATTATTTGCATCCAGGAGTTCAAGACCAGTTTTGGCAACAGGGCAAAACCCGGTCTCTACTAAAAATACAAAATATTAGCTAGGTATGGCGGTGTATGCCTGTAGTCCCAGCTTCTCAGGCAGCCAAGGAGGTAGAATCGCTCTAGCCCGGGAGGCAGAGGTTGCAATGAGCAGAGATCAAACCACTGAACTCCAGCATAGGCGACAGAGTGAGACCTTGTCTCAGAAAAAAAAAAAAAAAAAAAAAAATTGGGCTGGGCATGGTGGCTCACGCCTGTAATCCCAGCACTTTGGGAGGTCAAGGCAGGTGGATAATGAGGTCAAGAGATTGAGACCATCCTGGCCAACCCGTTGAAACCCCATCTCCACTGAAAGTACAAAAAAATTAGTTGGATGTGGTGGCACGTGCCTGTAGTCCCAGCTACTCAGGAGGCTGAGGCAGGAAAATCACTTGAACCTAGAGGGCAGAGGTTGCAATGAGCAGAGATCACACCACTACACTCCAGCTTGGCAACAGAGCAAGACTGCCTCAAAAAAAAATTTTTTTTAATTAGGTAAGTATGATGGCATGCACCTATAGTCCCAGCGACTTGAGAAGCTAAGTTGGGAGGATCCCTTGAGCCCAGGAGATTGAGGCTGTGTAGTGAGCCATAATGGAGCCACTGCTCTCCAGCTTGGGTGACAGAA